AGGGGCACCCCCAGAACAGGACCCTGGAGAACCCTCAGAACAAGACCCAGAGGCACCCCCAGAACAGGACCCTGGAGAACCCTCAGAACAGGACCCAGGGGCACCCCCAGAACAGGACCCTGGGGAACCTTCAGAACAGGACCCAGGGGCACCCCCAGAACAGGACCCTGGGGAACCCTCAGCACAGGACCCTGGGGAACCCCCAGAACAGGACCCTGGGGAACCCTCAGCACAGGACCCTGAGGTACCCAAGAATGCACCTGCAGTTTGCTTGCATGATTCCCATACAGCCTGTGTCACAGTACACGGCTTTGTAACTGTCACCTGTCACATGGTACAAGCATCCCTGTCTCTGTCATCATTTTTTGTCCAGACACTAGACTTAAGTTCCTGACAGGTTTGCATGCCAGCAACCAGCTCCTGACAGCCAATGGTGACAGACACCCAGCACAGGCCACAGCATCCCTTGACTTCTGTCTCGCTCAGGATGGCCACTGGACAACTTGGTGAAGAGCTATGTCTGTGTAGATGTTCAGCGCCTACAGGCTACTGTCTCCACTCTCCCAGGGAGCCAGACCTCTGCTCCAGCCCTAGAACACAGGAGGCTAGCATGCCAGAGCCCTGAACGCATGAAATTGTATGTGCTGGAGCCACTGAGCTGCCTCTAAAAGGAGTGGAACCCACACCACAAAACCACAGCTGTAGGAAGCAAGGCTCTGCATCAGCTTTGAGCCAGGTTTAGATCTGTCATTTCACATTTCAAAGGGTCTCAGCAAGTGCAAACTGACCTGGAGCCTTGAAGCCCAGGACTAAGGAAAGTGAGAGGTGGACAGAACGGGGGCCGCTGATGCACAGCATCCCAAATCTGCCCTCCTGTGGTCCTCCTCTTGACCACCCTGGAGACCTCTCACTACGCACCATGCTCTGACTTACACATTCACATGGAAAATCTTACCCTGTACAACTAGTCTCCCTTTCTATGGTGTAGACAGAAGTCCAGAGAAACTCCATCTGCCCTGGGACCCAGGACCAGGAGGGGCAGGGTAAAATACAAATCCAGACAGGCTGGCTCCAAAGCTCCACTATCCACCACTCCACACTGCCACAGGCCCTTCAGCCTCATATCTGGGGACCATAGAAACCCCTCCTCCCAGCTTGACCTTGGGCTTCTGTCCCCCACACAAGGAATTCAAGGTCTCTATGATACCTGCATAACTTCAAATTCCTACTCAAACTGAGTGAGGGGTCTCACTCAAACTGCCCCTCTTTTTGGAAGATTTATCTTCTTCCTTACATCAAGAAGCCACCTCTTCCACGAAGCCTTCCCTGATGTCACCCCTCTCATACCCAGTTGTTCGTGTCCATCTCTCCTCTCCCACCTGATGGCTCTTGGTTCCATGGTGCTAAACTCAAAGGATTAGAAGATAAGTGACGCCCACTCCGTGCCATCAGGGGCTGAATTCTGTCAGCCCCTCCCTCTAAGTCCATAAATTGAAGTTGTAATCCAGGACCTCCAAACTTGAGTGGATCTGGAGAAGGGCTTTGAAAGGGTGATTCTGTTTCAAAGAGCTCACTTAGGTGGGCCTTTATCCCCTGTGACTGCCATTCTGATAGGAGAGGGTGATCAGGTCACAGGTACACACAGAGGGGCAACATTGGAGGACACAGAAGAGAGGTCAGCTGCAAGCCAAGGAGAGAAAACACAGGCCTGCCGTCACCTGGCCCTCAGCCTCCGGCCTCTAGAGGCTGCTGCCCAGGGCCCAAGTAGTCACAGTCCTTTGTGAGGAAGCCAGAGGGAACTAATGTACCAGCGCTCAAGCAACCAGGCCTACAGCAGCGGTCAAGGCCAAATTCCCAACAACTCAAGCAGAGGCCATGTCCCTCCCCGACAAGAACTGAGACAAAGTATCCTTAACCTTCAGACTCAGAGAATCCACTTTCTGACATGTCTGACTGTTTATATAAACTGTATAGGTAAAGGGGTCTAATCAGACGCCCCATGCAGATTAATCTGCTCAGAATTATCTGTGCACACACACACCCTCTACCACTACCTCCTGGAGACACAGCACAGGGAGACACAGTGAGGGGTTGGGAAGGCAGGAGGCAGGTGCTGGTCAGCCTTGGAAACAGAAATGTGACTTGGCTGTGAGAAGTTCAAGTGCTGAGTGGGAAGGAGCCTGGATGGGCTGTGCTTAAAATAAGCCCAGTCAGCAAGCAATTTCCCCAAAACAGTACAACAGGTTAGAGCAGCCCACATTCCCGCCAGGCTCATGGGAAACTGCAAGCCCAGAGGCAGAGCCCCACGCTCTGGTATTTATCCACCTTCATATAACCCCACTGGCTCTGAGAGGGGGGCACAGAGACCCAGAGCGCTGTGCACATGGTCCAATCCACGTCCATTAAGAGGTAACCCTGGTCCATTTGCATGAAGCATTAATCTCACATATAACAACTTGTTTCCACAGCTAAACATCGGCTGCAGAGGCTCTGTTTGAACTTCCAAGCCCGTCCTCTTCCCAAGTCTCCATGGGAGCAGGAAGAGGAATGGAGCCTGCTGCAAGGAGAACCCACATACGTTCACAGAGCAGCTTGAGTCTTGCCATCCCTCAGCCTTGGTGGGACAGTCTCAGGTGCCAATTCTAAAAGTACCCCCCTCACCCTGGGCTCCCCAAGCAGCTAACAGGATAAAGCAAACATTCTGTGTGGACCGCATCTGCAGAGGGTGGGAAAAGGCAGCGGAAAGGAAATCCCATAAAGAGTGAACTCAGCGAAGGGGCCTCGGTTCAGCTCTTTTCTAGCTGGGAGTTTGTAAAGCTGGTGATTTGAGTGAAGGTGCCACCAGCTGCCAAACGCTGGTTCCCATCTCTGTCCCTGTGGCTGCGCACTGATAGTGGAAGAGCGAAGTGCGTTTCCAAGACCCTTCATGTGCCAAGAAAGCAGGACAACGGTTTAAAGGGACCGTTTCACTGGTGGCTGTCCCTGCCTGCCTTCCTCCACTCCCTCTAGATTTCCTCAGACAACAGAACCTCTAAACACATCCCCAGCCCTGGTCAGCTTTCCTAGCGAGGACCTCATCTTTCCTGTGGCTGAGTGCAGTAAATGGGGAGTAGGCAGGAGAAGTGATCAAGCCAGATGCCAGGGCACCACCTCCACGCTGCCCCCTTTTCTCCGCAGACATGACACACACTGATCCTAAGTAAGGTGTCTCATACGTTGGACTGTGCCCTGCCGTCCACATCTTAAATCTAACCCCACTTCCCACTGGCTGCAGGAAAGAGTCCTTCAAAACGCTACAGTTTCTTGACTAGTCAGTCTCAGCCCTCAGCTCTCCAAGGAGGCTACTCCGGGCCCAGGCTCTGAGCTCACCAGGAGATCAGCTGGACACCAGCCTGTCCCAGAGGCAGCTGGGATCCTCCGCCCCCACTGAGCGGCTCACTCTCTCCTTTCACACCCTCCTCCCACGAAGCTAGGTGGCAAGAGAACAGGAGTAAGCTTGCTGGACCAACACCTTCAGCACTCCAGATCTACAGGGTTGGTTCACTGGACTTTCAGTGTTTATTGCCCCTTTGAGGGCTTAGTTTCCAGGTTTCCTTTCAGTCCTGAGAAATGGCTTGTGGCACAGGGGGCCCAGTTTGTCCACAGGTACCAGCCAGTCCTGAAAAGCCTAGAACCAGGAGCTACCTAGAGTCAGACCCCTTGCTCAAGGATGAGGAGGACCCCTCCAAGCCCTTCTAGGGAGAGCACCCACCACCTTCTATAAGGCACTCGGATCAGTGCCCTGATTGCCCCCTGCTGGCCAGCTTCATCCACAGCACCAGCTCTGCCCTCTGAGGGCAGCTAGTCTTCCTAGAGATGACATTAGAGACCAGAGCAGGAGACTGCATCCCTGCTGAAGCCAGTCTGGGCGGGGAGGGGTGCAGCAGCAACAGGACTGGGCTCTGGGCCAACCAAGTCCACTCCGAGCTACCCTGTCCTTCCTCCAGCACAAATGGAGGCCACAGAGTCACCAGGGGTACTAGAAGAGACAGGAAGTGTCTATGGCCAGGTTGTTCCTCCAAACTACCAAGAGAAGAAAGTCTGCCTGCCACTCCCAGTGCATGCAGGGATTCTAGCCTTATTCAGCCTCCTCAAGACTTGAGGGACAAGGAGAGGTGAAGTCAGCTACTGAAAGGACACAACTGAAAATAAGTAGACAGTGTACAGGCCAGTGAGGGGCTTCCTGTCTCCTGCCCTCCTGGTATAAATATACTTCTTTGGAGAGCAAGCTTGAAACCTGGAGTGCACCCACCTGGGGTTGCCCAGAGGGTACTGGAGTGACCACCACCTTTCACTGGGAAGAACAAAGCCTCTGGGTCTGGAAGTGGTGGGGTTGGAGTGGAGGTGCCTGGGGTTTCTAGCCCAGAGGGAGGAAAGATGGATGAGGTGTTGAAAGCCAGGCACCCACTCCTCTGGCCCCCATGCTGACCACCCCTAGGTCCAGGAGGACCAAATACGGCTGTGGGACACACTGAGAAAATCTGAGGAGGGGCAACCCTAGAATTAGGAGTCTCGGAACAGGACACGGAGGTAACCAGACATACTGGATCCAATGATAGGAGTAGACCCAGGTAGCACCCCAGAGCCAGCAATCCAGGCACCACTGAGCCAATGCAGTGCAGTGTGTGAAACCCACTATCCCCAAGGCATGGAGCTGGGTGGCCCTCAAGGACCTGGAGTCATCCCATGGTGTCCTACAGCCTCTAGGGACCTCCCAGTAGCCCCAGCTCTGGAGGCCGGAGAGGCTTGGAGTGCCCAGACCTTCAGCAAGAACCCTCAGGAAAAGTCTCCTATATTTTGGGGACCCTTCCCCAAGTAATCCCTGACCAGGGGCCAGTAGGGGCACCACGGAGGTGACCCACACTTCCCCCCAAGTCTCCACGGGTGGTCCAAAAGTGGGGGGCTACAGGGGTCTCCCCAGGTGTCCCGAGGCGTCCTGGGAGCACGCGGAGGTCACTTACACTGCTGTTCTCTCCCGTCCAGTGCACCATCGCCTGATTGTGCGTTGCGTCCCCCTTGAGCACAAACGATGTGCTGATGAGCCAGACCTGAGCGCGCGAAGCGGCTCCGGCCACCGGCACCGCCCGCGCCCTGCGCTCCTTGCCCAGAGCTGGGGCAAGGTCTCCGCCAGGACTCCAAACAGGATCCGGATCACGACCCGGGGCGCCAGGCTCTGAGTCTCGCACCTGCGTGTCCTCTTGGCCACCTGGCTCCGCGCGCCCCGAGGGTGGCAACCGGGTGACCCAAGCGCGGGGACCCGGGCGTCCGGGCCAGGAGGACCGTCCCTCCGCCCCGCCAGCGGCCGGAGGCAGGAGCGGCAGCAGCAGCAGCAGCAGCAGCGGCGGCGGTGGCGGCGGCGGTGGCCGAGAGCGCGGCCAGCTCAGCGACTGAGGCGCCCCGGAGGTCCGGGCTGGCGCAGAGGGGCCGGGGCGCTTCGGGGCGCTCAGGGGTCCCCGGTGCGCCATGGTCGCCGAGAGGCGGCGGCGGGGCGGCTCGGTGATCGACACCGCGGCTGGGAGAGCGGGAGGGCGCAGGGAGCTAGACCGAGAGCGCAGAGAAAGGAGCCGGGAGGGGAGGGAGCCGGGGAGGAGGGGACTCACCGCGGCCCAGCCGAGGGCGCACCGCCACCTGCCGGCCGCCCGCACCCGCCAGTGAGCCACCGCTCCGGCTCGGCCAGGCCAGGAGGTTCGGAGCACGGCCACACCCCCAGGACCCCTTTCTTCCTTCCCAGTGGCTCCCAGCCTCGCCTCGCCTTCTGTCATCTCCATCCTGTACCCAACCTCCCGCCTTTCTCTTTCTTGACTAAGCACCTGCTTTCTGCCAGCGGAGTTCGAGGCACTCGGGGTACAGTGGGGAGCAGCCCAGGGAGACAGGCCACACCCAAGCAGAAGCCAAACAACTTCAGAGAGGCCGACTAGGCAGGTGGTGAGGGTGCCTTCTCTGGGTGCCATTGGAGAAGAGCGAGCAGGAGGGGCCTGAGGGCCTGAAGGCCTGAGAACACAGCTTCTGGGGACTGCGCAGTGGCCTGGGGTGTCCCCCTGCGTCGCCCCAAGGGTCTAGACATCAGACAGTGGTTTATGACCTACCTACAGGCGAGTCCCTGAACAAACGGAAAGCTGCACCTGTGGGGAGGGAGAAGCAAGGAGAGGGGGACAGTGGACAGAGCAGGGAGGCCCCCACCAGACCTGGCCAGCCACCAGGGATCACTAGACCCAGAACCCAGCGAGTCCCCAGCCAAAGTCATGTGACTGCTGTAATTCAGTGTCTATAAAAACAGCCGCCACGACCCCCCATGTCATCCAGATTGGCTTGGGGGCCACAGATCAGGCAGAACCCTTTCCGGGCACTGAGCCACTCCCACCCTATCAGGCTCAATCCAGGTCACACTGCACCTACTGTTAGGTCTCTTCACTCCAGAGAACCAAAGAAAACGGAGGACGACCTTTGAGAAAGATGCGGTCCAAGGCTGAACTCCAGGATCTCCCTCTCCAGGAGGTCCTCTTCAACACAGGCAGGCCACAGACCTGGGCTGCCTCTGTGCTCGGCACTGGGCAGGATGGGAGCAACTCTGGCCCTGCGTCTACCAAGGCCTCCTTGGGGGGAATGCACCCAGGCTGTACTCTGATACAATTCCCAACCTGAAAAATTCAGACACCAAAGTCCAGAGCCAGGAGAGGATGGAAGGGTATGTAACCGTGGGAACATCTGGTCTGACAAAAGAAGGCAGCTGGGTTCAGTGTGGAGCTGAAGGGGGTGGGGAGAGAATGGGAAACCTGGGAGAGGATGTGACGGTCGGAAGGGCTGCTCCAGCCTAGCAAGGACCTGAGTCCTGTCTGGCCTTTCTCAGCTCTCAGGGTCTCCATCTCATAACCATAAATCAGGACTGAACCATGGGCAGCTAAGGTCTCCTCCAGCCTTTAGTAGGTTTTGTTTTATTGTGTTTAAAATTTTTTAATGTCTTTAAGTAGTAAAAGGCCTCAGGCTGTGACATTTTATTGAACACGTGTTTTCCTGGGGCCCCTGTACCTGGTGGGCTGCCACTTCGGATGAGCATATGTCACCCCACCACCAGGCTGGGTAGCATGTAGAATTGTCCCCATTTACAGGTGAGGTGACTCGATAGTTCAATGACAGCACATGTCAGAGGCCAGATTCCAACCCAGGTGCTATCATCCTGGGTGGTGCTATTTGTACAACTTACACTTGTTGACGTCTAGGACTGGAGCTCTGGAGCCCTCTACCAGTTGGGGACTTAGACCCAGTCTGCCTATCAGGCAGGGAGGAGATGGGAGCCACGACTACCTCCGCAGCCTACCTGAGACTCAGTTCATGGACACTTAGTCAAGGCCCTCCATAAATAGAGGAGATGGTCCAGGCCTGGAATGCAAGTGTGACACCCTGTCAGGGCTCTTTCCAGAACAACCTACTGCCTCTGCTCCAGCAGCTACAGGAATTTGGAGGAGCAGGACTGATTCGTGCCTTCCATAAATCTAGAGCCCAGAGCTGTTGGGATCATTCAGTTCACAACCACGAATGAATAAGGGGACACTGATGAAGAGGAGGCAGCCCTGGACCAGCAGGATGAGCTGCCGCCAGAAGAACCATGCCAGCTACTAGCAGGCACTGGGAGATGATGAAGAGTGAAGGGATTCTGGGTGCGAGGAAGTCCAACTCCTCCTGAGGTGACATGGAACTGTCAATGGAGAAATAAGATAAGAGGCCATGGCTGCTGCAGGTGCCATCCCAGCAGAGGGAAGAGTCCTTGTGGCGACCCTGCCTCCTCCTCAGGAGCTGGTGTGCCTGGAGTAGCACAATTGGTATTCACAGGCTGATGGAGAGTGGCTGGAGTGTTTCAAGTGGGAGAGTGAAATGGCTGGCTTTTTACAGTCGGCATCCCCGCCTCTGAGGACAGGAGCAGGAGGACACTTAGGAGGCGACTCCTCCAAAGGTTTAAGAGTCTGTGGCCACTGGAACAAAAGAGAGAGTGAAGGAAAACCCTGCGGACCTGTCACCCCGCTTCCAGGCACCTCCTACTTTCTGACCTTCATCAGGGATCCCCAGCAGGGAACGGGGGCACACAGAAGTAGGAAAGAGGTTAAGGAAAGTGTGAACAACAGGGAGAGCTGGTTGGCCACCTCCTGGCATCACATCTGACATGCCCAGATGGAGAATAGGTTGGACACTTCCAGAAACTGCAGAGTACTGTCCACGGCACACACCAGGATAGCCAGAGCCAGCAAACATCCTCACATGAAGGGGAGGCGCCATTAAGAAGGCCTTGTGGGAGTCTCAGGATCTGGCTGGCCCCATGCAGGTGTCAGGAGACTGGCCCTCTGAGTACATCAGGCAAATACAAACCCTCTCCAGGGTCATAAACTCATGATATTCAAAGCACAGAGGCCCTGCGATGGAGCCAGCCCCAGCTGTCCTCTCCACCAGCTCTACTTTCTGTTCCATGCCCCATGTAGGATCACTTGTGCTCCTGCTCCTGTGACCTCACAGCCTCACAGACAGTGACACTCAGCATGTGCTCCAAGGGAAGGGTCTGGGAGTCAGAGGAGAGGCTAAGGAAGAAAGGAAACAGTCCAGCGTTGACCTCAGGCTCCTTTCCTGGATGCCCATTCCAGGTGGCATCATTTCTGAAATTCACATATAGACAGTAGGGAATGCTCCCCCACAGGAAGGTCACACTGGTGGCAGCAAGGGACCCTAAGGATTCAGTGCCCCGCACCTCCACTCAGCCCTCAGATGCCTCACCTGTAAAGTAAGTCCAGCCCTCCCTGACCCTGTGATTCTCAAAGTGCCATCTGTCCCTCGGCCAGCAGTGGCAGCTTCAACTGGAATTGGTTAGAAATGCCAGCTCCTGGGGTCACCCTTACCTACAGAACAGAAGCCACCAGGTGGGGCCCAGAGACCTGCGTCTTAACACACCCTTCCCTTCCAGCAAGTCTGAAGGAAATGTCACACCCCAAATTTGAAAGCTACCCCCTAGCCCAGTGTCTCAAGCTGAATAAAGGTCCTGCCTGGGGAATTTGAGGAAAAGCCCTATGCCCAGTCTCACTCCGGGGCTCATGCTTCTGGGGTTGGAATCCCAATATTCAATCGTCTTTAAGCTCCTGGGGTGATTTGAATATGCAGCCCACTACCCCAACACCCTCCCCCAATGCTGAACCTTGCACATACTAGACAAGCACCCACTACTGAGCCGCAGATGATGCTTTTTTATATATAAGGAGCTGGCGAGGCAGGCAGTGGTGACACTGTAGGCCTGAAGCTGAGAAGTCTAAAGAGCAGTGTTAGAGCAGCAGGAAAAGCAAAAAGACCTTAAAACCTGTCGAGAGTATCAATCTCTGGCCTGGGTGAAGACCCACTTTCCAGTTTTCCCAGGCCACTGCCAAGAAAGTGGGTTCACCTTAAATCATGCTAAAGAGATGGGTGGAATCCCAGTGAAATTCCTGCCCCTTAGCACAGCTCTTGTGGACCTGGCTGGCCAAAGACACAGTCTCACCATAGGTCCGTCTGCTTCTCTGAATTCTCCAGAAGAGCATAACACCCATCTCCCTTTCTAACCGTGTGTTCCCTAACCCTTCAGGCTGCTCCAACACTTGTACATCTTTACTTTTTCAGCTTACCTGCCCTGAGAATTTTTCTTTAAGTTCTTATAAAATTGCCCCAAAGCTTCTGTTTGAGTCTACTGTTAAACTCTTTTACGAATAAGAGTTAGGAAAGTTAAATGATTCCAGAGAAAATAGATACTAAGGGCCCAGCACACAGTAGGGCCCCCACTGAGAGGCCCAACTGAGCCCTGTGTAGACTTTCTGGCTATAGTCCCACAAGTTGAGCAGTCCCATGATGAGGCTACATCCAGAAAGGACATTGTCTTTTCCACATTTAATCATTCAGTTTGCTCCTTGAAAGTCCCCAGCTTTCTTAAATTATTAAAGGTCTCTAGTGATAATATTTTTACTTATCTTTATAAATGCAATAAACTCAAATTGTGCATCTCTGGGAGCAGGGCCTGCCTGAGAAACAGATAAGGAACCCAGGAGTGAGTCTCACCTGAAGCTCAGGACTCCACCGGGGGAGGCCCCAGGCCATGCTTCCTATCCTTCAGCTCTGTTCACAGTTTTTTTTTTTTCCTGCATGAACAACAGGAAGGCTTCTGCAGTGAGTGGCTGAGACATCTCCTAATGACTTTAGGCCAACAAGGATAAGACATAATAGCTTTGAACCAGAAAGGTCAAGTGTGACATCTCTTTACCAAGTTGTCAGGGGCAACAGAGCAAGACAGAAGGGATGGTGGGTCAAAACCTTAACTTAGACCAGACACCAGAGTCTGATGCTGAGACCAAAGGAACACTGTTCACAGAGCAGGCACCAGTGATCCAGCAGAGGGAGGTGGCGAGGAGGGAGGCAAGGTCTGCAGTTCTGTGGTGTGGTGCTTTCTGATGGAGCCATGCACTTCCTGCCTCTTGGACCACCTACTCTGTAGACCAGCCTCATGTTCCGGAGAGACACAGTTAATGCACTGCAAATA